GTGCTGTTAAGTCAAATAAATTGGTACGAAAGGAGAGTAAACAAATAAATAAAACAAATAAAAATGGGTCCAAGATACGAAGCCTTCAATACCACTATCAGCCCTGGGGTGGGTGGCTTCCCACCCCCCACCGCCACCATGGCTGTTTCTAGAGTTTCTAATTTTGTCACCATCGGACACGCTCCGACTCCACCCACTTTTATTTGTCTCCAAAATGGCCATCAGCAGGGAGGGGGTGGAGGTGAGGGAAACATCTCAAGATACGGCAGGCCTTCTAACCTTATCTCACCACTCCCGTTGAGTTATCCCCGAAATCGCCAAACGCGCCAAAGGCAATCCTCCTCTCGCGCATCTCCCACTACCGTGACCTCCTCTCACGCATCTCCCACAACCGCGATCCCTCCAACTTCCACAAATATGACCCTTTTTCGACCTTTTGGCCCTCGCAAAACCCAAGCACGACCCCCTTCCAAAGTCCCAATACTACCCCCGTAGGCACTTGTACCAGCGAACGGCTTGAACCTGCCGCGGGGTGCGTGAATACCTCGCTTCAGCGTTTACCCATCCCTGAGCTTCCATCCCTACAAAAATTGGAATTACTGTAGGCGGCACGAATCTCACGCCACATCTCACTTCCCTCTTATTGGGATAACCCGAAAAGGATAAAAAAGGAAAAGAGAGTTTAAGATAAGCTAAAATAAATAAAAAAATTCTAGTGATGATTAAGATAGCATGCAGCAGGACAACAAAATGAATTAGTTTAGCTTCAATTTACGAGAACCTGTGAAGGGTCTATTACAATAAGGAGGGGCACTGCTCTGCAGAGCGCCTTAAACCACGATAGCCATTTCCTTTTATCGTGAACTCAAAGCCTAAGCCTTAGGTCATATCGGACTTTGCGAATCGAGCGATTCTCTACTAAGGATTCGCTAGCGTCCATAGTCGCGTTGCGATACCAGCCTACTTGAAGGATTCGTTGGCCGCGACGCGATCGTGGGCGCTGGCGAATCGCTCGATTCGCAAACTCTGAAATCGGCCTCAGAAGGGCGGGAGACTCAGGAGTGCATAGACAATTTCTCATTTTCTCCAAAATTCCTCCCACTTTTAGGCTTAGTTTCCCTAGAATCCTCGTCAAGCCGCTAAACGTTCGCAACTTTGAGACTCTTCGAACAAAGTTAGGATTAGAGCAGATCATACATCGCACTGCCCTTCTTATTGGACTTATTGGAGTGGAACAGACCCCACTCGAGTATCCCGACCTGTTCCCGACATTAGCTCCTCAGAGCGCTCTGAGAAATTGTTCGACTGATACGAAGTTATTACGTGAGGTCATTTGGTGCCCTAATAACGAATATGGCACTCATTGTTGCGCCAGCGCCGCAAATCAATGTCATGTTCCTGACTAGGGCATCAAATGACTCCCCTTGAGAAGCTCTAGCAAAGAAAAATTAATATTGAGATTTTTTGGGCAGGAGTAATGGAATGGAGTGCAGGTGATGTAGTGGCAAATAATGCCGCTCCTCACGCCCATGGCTAGGAGGTCAAATCTCGGGTTGAGTTCACCCATTCCCAGCTTCATGGGTTGGTCAGCTGGGTTTACGGACTACTTGATTTTTCCTCAATGGTCCTGCCGCGATGGCTAGAGCACAGACGATTAGAGAATGCCCTAGGACTAAGCCTTGAGAGGAGAGGGACCCGCTAGAGAGCGCAGAGGCGGTAAAGGGCTGAGTTCAAGTAGTCCGTCAACCGGTCAGCTAATACTAGAAATGTGTAGGAGAATAAAAACACGTTTCACATCAACTATACATTCATTGCGTAGGTCATACCGCTTCCAAAATACATTTATAGCTTCTTGATGGAAGTGATGTGAGAGGCGCATTCCCAAAAGGGATGGGCCTTGATTAACGAGGCGATTGATGAACGCCGAGGCTTTTAAGCTCTAATAGTAAAAGTAGCAAAATTTATGAGTCCGTCGTTAACCGTCCGATTAAATGCATGTCTACACGTCCAAAACGGAATATGCTTTTCTAGCTACCATGTTGTCCCCGCCAGCCACCAATCCCTTCTTCCTGTGTACGCTACATGCCTTCCGCTGCGTTCACTTCCATCTGTGAGGCTTACACCTTATGAACTTTATCCGTGTGCGAAAACAGCAGAGCAATGTGTTACGCTGCATAAAAGCACGTCAGGTTTTGAAATATCCCGCCCATTGATAGACTGACAGTGGGCTTGGATGGGGGTTTTGGATTGTTCACGGACTCCCTCCAAGGAAGAATTCGCATTTTTTAGAATGGCCAGGAGTTCAAAGGAGGTTCACGATGAGAACGAAGGTCAAAGGGGGCTCCGATTCTCGTGTTTCAAACGGTTTCTTCTTCATCCCTGCTCCACTGACCACTTGTATCCATATTTCCATTGACTAAATTTTCATCCTAAATTCTGCCTTCAAAGGCACGAGTCACAATCAGACCTGAGCAATTCTCTCCCTGGGTGAGGTATAAGGCTCCTACTCGCAGGGTCTCAACGTCTCACGGAGAGCAAAATCGCGATAGTCCTACCATTGAAAGGTTTGCAGAGGCCGGAAAATCCTTCCAGGCAGGGCGAACACGAAAGCCTTCAATTGTCGTAGCAAGAAAGATATCAAATGAGTCTACGGCAGCTAACGTAGCCATCGCAACCTTAAACCCGAGAAACGGTCAAAAATATAAGTAAAAGACGCTCGTGTTCGTAGGGCCGATGGTAGGTGAGATTAGGACTAACCTAAGCCCAACAAAGAGGACAACCGCCAGGGAGCACTAAAATTGTTCACATGCTCCCCCAAGATCCCTTCCTCTCTAGAGCTCATTCCCAAGAACTCACTTGAATCCCCCCCCCTCCTAGGACATGAGCGCCAATAAAAGCAGAATTTAAAGCATATGCGATCACCCCTTTTGGGATGCGCCATGCTCTCTGCTTCCATTTCAAATCGGAAACTTTGGATGCGATAAGGTCGCAAACAGACTTCGCGACCGCCTGCGCTTGCTTTGCAATTCGAATGTGGATTGGATACGTTCGATCAGGTGATCACGCGATCGCACGATCACATAATCGATGAGTATGTACCACATCAGAACGCGCCAAATCGAAACTATGGCAGCGACTTGAACGAATAAGGTATGTCACCTCCCAAATCAGTGAGTGTTCTTCTAAGAAAGAAAAAAATCATAAAGCCATCGAGGCCAGAAAAACGGCGAGGTGGCAGTGATGCCTCAGCCGATGCGACATGGGAGTCATGTGGGAGGGAAGAGGCGCATGCGATCACCTATAAGAACTCCAACGTGGGTGGAAACGGCTCGTTTGGGGACTTGTGTCATATTTGTGCACTTCTCTATGCATGGGCTGCATTTCTAAAGTCGCTTCTCGAACTCCTAAAAGATGAATTCTCCTCAGTGTAGTTTCGATATGTGATTGCACTTGCGGCGCTCATCCAAAACCCTGTGATGATGGATACATTATAGCTTTATCCAAGAGCGTGGAAATTTAGTTGGACACCAGACGGATAACGACGGCTGAAAGGAAAGCATCACCAGTGCTTTTCTTGCCGCATTTCGGTATAATTTTTTTCCCTGGGTTCTTAGTACGCTATTCATAAGAATAGATGCAGAAGAGATCAGGAGGATAATAAATCGGCCCAAAGGTTGTTTGGGAGGTGGGGGGAAGCAGGCATGGGGACACAGCACTTATTCCGGCAACCGTGGTCCAGTTTTTAGCAGGAGAAGGAGGAAGGATGCGATGTGCCTCTGAGGGGGCTATTTCTATACGAAGTTATAAGGATAAAAAGGATAAAGCATTTGCCGTTGATCAATCCCTTTTGGGATGCGGCACGCATTCTACTTCCATTTGTACATTCGTAGTGGCGTTTGAATGCGATGTGGCCTATACAATGACTTGCGGGGGCCAGCCGATGTACAAGTCAGTGTTTTTATCCTCCCAGACAAGTCTGGTACCAATTAACCGACCCCGGAGGGATGGAAGGCTTGGTTGGCCCCGACGGCACGACCCAGGAATTCGATCCCGGACCGTGCGCTTGGTAAGCGTGCCACTTGCCACTACATCACTTCCGCCCATAGGAAGGTTAATAACAACGGAGAGGGACGAATTCTGGAAAGAATGAGGATTGCATACACACCTCGGAGCCCCTCTTCTCCTAAGCTTAGTCCAGGAAGTGAGCGCTTCCTTGGGTCCAGTAATTGCGAACTGACCCTCCAAGAGCCACATGAGCGCCGGCGAAAAGCCCCGTGGCAGCTTGTACTTGCAATTATGCCAAGAATAAGGGCTGAAGGAGATTAAAGGAATCCTCCACGGAAGAAGCTCCGCCCTCATTACCACAGAAACGATACCTTAAAGGAATCTTTCACGGAAAGAGTGATCATTTTGTCTTGTGTGTAGGATTAGTATTATCGAAACTAACACTTATGTTCGTTCTTTTTGCTATGCTCATGAGGCTAGGGGCCTAAGGGGTATCGTTTTTCTGTGGTAATGGAGGCGGAGCTTTTTCCGTGGAAGATTCCTTTAAATGGTGGCTTTGTAATTGGATTTCAATGGCCTTGAGTACTCTGTGGCCACGATAACACCTTCCCTACGAGAACTACACACTTCAACCATGAAGTGATCTCCCGTGCAAACGTGGGTGTTATGGACCTCCAAAGCTCCATAACACCCACGCACGTAAGGCGAAGATGCTCCCCTGCACCGCAGCGCCGGGTTGTCGCGCGCGGCGGTCGCGCGAAAATCGTACGAGTCGTCGCGTTCTCTGCCAGCTGGTAGTGATTATCGATCGCCGTCTCAACAGTTGCAATGACTTCGAACAGATCTGCTGATATCGTGATCCCATGATCTTTTCAACGCTATTCATTTGTTGATCTGTTGTTCTTCTCGCCCCTTAGTTTCATTCAGAAACCCTCTGAACTCATCACAAGTGAGCCGCTTTCATTTCTAAAGTGCTTTCACTTTCAGGTCCAATCATGAGTGAGAATTTTCCACCGGACGACGCTAGCACATCCAGCGGGTCGCCCGCTGATGCGGTTCTGGATAAAACAATGAAAATTTTGGAAAATTTGGTGATTGACTGGGAATCAAAGCAGCCATCAGAGGCGAGTTGCTTCTTAATTTATAGAACTTTCATTTTGATGTAAATTGAAATTTGGAACTTGGAACTATTTTGTTAAACATGCATTTGGAATTATTTTAAAATTACCCAAACAAGCGAAGCTATTCCTTTGCCTTTTTGCACTCACGGTGCGAGATTCAACGCGGTGCTTTACTTTTCGCTTAGCAGCTCCCCTATGACCAGAGACCTAACAAACGGGGTACTCTCGTTCGTTCATTAGTGAAGAAAACGAACTTAATGAAGTTTGACGTAAAATGATGAGTTCTGGTCCTCTTAGCTTAGTCTAGTGTATTCCCTCACTTCTCTGCTCCCTACGACGCGCGGAAAGTGATGTTCTTTTGATGTCGTGCATTCTTTACTTCTATATCATTAGCAGTTCTCAGTAGAAAAACATGTTTCGATTTTTTGATGGAAATCTCGTTAGTTTTTCAACGGCTTGTTTCCATATTTCTGTCTGATTCACCATTTTTGCTTTCATCGAAGTAACCTTACACGAATTTTGTTGTATTATAATTTTTTTCGCCATGGATGCCGTAATGACCGCTAATTGTAGCCTAGAAAGACGTACACATGAAAATTAGCTTCACCTTTAAACAAGCCCTCAGAAACCACACTTTGTGGATTCACGGTCAGGCGGGCCACTTGGTGTGGCGGTCTTGTTTAGATGACGCATATCAGGAAGGGGATAATTCAACTCCGACTTTAGAAAATAGTGACTAAACGTTCTCGAGCGATAGGTTAGGGTGTCAAGAGGAGAATGAAATGTTTCTGCCTTTGGTAATCAGGTCAAAATGACGGCAACCCAGTGAATAAGAGGCGTCCCCGTTCAAGAATTCACTTAGCCAGTTCTTCTGCTATTATTTTTGGTATTCCTGTGCAGCGACAGGGAATTCCAGTGACAAAAATGAGTGGTGGTCGGTGATTTTTTATAAATTGAGAAAGGCTGGAAATAGCACCAATCGAGGTGACTTATGTGGCTTACGATTAGTTATTCAGCCCCTATTTCGAGATTTGTTTTCACTCCATTGACGGGTTTGCCATACATATTTTGGTTCTTTAGAATGTAGTGACCAACTTTCAGTGGTAGGGTGACTTGTGATTACTTTCGAATATTATCTTCCAGATTAATTGAATCCATTTTGAAATCATGTCTAAGAAGTGATTAACAAAATTTCTCGATAAACATGGTTTTCTGGCTCTGCACAGAGTGAGACCTCGGTCAGACTCGGCGATTGCGTCGCTGGACACCAGCGACGGAGCCGCCAGCGACGGAGCCGCCAGCGACGGAGCCGCCGGCGACGGAGCCGCTGGCGACGGAATCGCCGGCGACGGAGCCGCCCGGCACAAGAGTGGCACAGCGGGCGATGACTCATCACGATCGATATCGGTTGGCAGAGGGGAGATTAATCATCCTCACCCATGGTTCAATTGTTGTGCTCGGTTTTTTTTTGAGTGTTTTCGATTGTAGTGAGATGTTTTATGTGCAAGGAAACGAAATCATGATCAACGGTATGCCTCAGTAATTATAGAGCAAACAAGCAAACAATTATAGAGCGTTTCCTAGAAAGCAAACACCTAAAAATGTTAAGGTAGATATCGGTTGGCAGGGGAAGAATAATCATCACACCATTTGAAAAAAAAAACCGAGCACAACAATTGAACCATGGGTGAGGATGATTAATCTCCCCTCTGCCAACCGATATCGATCGTGATGAGTCATCGCCCGCTGTGCCACTCTTGTGCCGGGCGGCTCCGTCGCCGGCGATTCCGTCGCCGGCGGCTCCGTCGCCAGCGGCTCCGTCGCTGGCGGCTCCGTCGCTGGTGTCCAGCGACGCAATCGCCGAGTCTGACCGAGGTCTATCGTGCAGCTGTATGCTAATGCAGTTTTACCTTAAGCTTTCCAGACTACAAATTCTTTCACACACATTTTGATTATTAGCGTTGCTCATCAATTATTGAATGTTTTGACACATTTCGCGCATGGTGGGACGCACGCTGTGCTCTTACAACGTCGGTTCACGCCTAGGGTGGATTACGAAATTCTTTCCTACCTTTCTGAACCTATAACGTTATTTGATTGAAGGGTAACTGTGCTCTCATACGTGCGAACGGAGACAACATTTTTGTCAACAACGTCGGATGTGTATTTATATTTGAATATCTTCAGTCAAAATCACGAGATCGGAAAAACTCCAAATGGAAAACAGGAAGCTGTTAAAGTGATGGAGTACCGCCAAGCCGCACGAAGGTCACGAAACAAGTGGACTCCCTATTTAGTTGCCAAGGTAGATTTCCTGTTATTTTCTTATTTTTAGCTCTAGCTCTAGCTCTTTTTCACTCTGAGTGAACGCTAGGTCAAAGTGGCTTTCTGAATTGAGTGAATACAGTCCGCTACTCTGACATTGATTATAAATCTGTCTTTCCTATTTACTAAGCGATATTTTCGTCACATTTGTTAGCATGGTCCAGCGGTTAGAGAGGCAAAATTTTAGTATTCACACCAAGGGATCAGCAAATCCATTTCAGCTTTTTCTTCGCTCTAAATCGTCTTTAGGAAGCAGTTTATCATGAGTCTTACACTGCTGCTCCTCCTAAATTTGATCTTCCCATTACGATCCTGTTAAGCTTGTGACACTAAACGCTTGCAATGCACTAGTTATTTCATTTCTATTTTTGTGCGCCAAGCAGCTGTGATGTTTGCGTTCAGGGGGTGAAACTTCACATGGGAACTAATTTCTAGGCCAGTTTTTGACCCCGGTCAAGGCTTCAACAAGGCTCTTTTGTTCGCTGGCCTCCAACATTATCAATCCACTTTGTGGCCAAAATGTTGTTTCTGTTAAAACCATCTATAGAAACGGACGGTCTTGATCACGAATATAATGATCTTTCTGGAAGCGTCGTCATTTGGTGTCTAAGCCTTTCCCAGTCGATGTACCAAGTGTAGCGATTATTTAATTATTTGTTGTTCTGTTCAGAAAAACGCACAATATCTAAATCAAGGCGCTTAATCACCACTTGATGTAAACAGTTGGTCACAGTGGTATCGTTAAAGAAGCGAGCGACTAGGAGTCTCCATAACCTTTTCTTGAAGGATTCATAAAAACCGCGCTCATCAGGGATCGTGACGTCTTCTTATGTGAGATAAAAGCTCCACCACCTATTTATTCGACTCGTAAGCGAATGTTCTTCTAGTGCGTCTCATGTAGGTGCTAAGTGTGAGCTTCCAGTATGGTTTTAAAGAATTTTCGTAACTTTGTTAGTGGCATTTTATTAGAAATAGAAGACAAATTTATCGTTAACGTCGGAAACAAATTTCTGGCTGAAGATGCCTATTTTTTCTCCAAAAAGTCCGGCACCGAAACAAAAGTAATAGTTCTTTTTAAGAAAGCTACTTATCACACCACTCGACGAGTTATATTCTACGATGAGTCGAATACGCTTTCCTGAAGACGTTGACGTGGAAGTTCTTCGTTTATGCTTACTAGACAGGTACTTCTTTGTTTCATGTCATGGAACTTTTACTCCTTTTGCAGATTGTCAAAAGTAATGTTATGATTTGCGACTCCTACTTTACACATTTCAGACGTGATATACCGGTGGCATGTAGCGTTCAAGCTGCACGACCACCAACACCTGACGGTGAGGTGGACGAGTTGTCCGAGTATTTTGCTCATTTCGTGCGAGTCGATTTGAAGATGTCTTCGCTGGCAGAGTCAATGTATATAAATAGCATGCTTAATAGTCAGACGTATCTACTCCCCCGACGAGCACTTTTCTAAGTACAGCACTGTGTGTAACTTTAATTTTTGGTTTCTCAGGGTTATTACCACTTATTTATTTTAATGTCAATCGTATTACCTTTTGTTGTGCCCGGTCACTCAAGCGTAGCCGTACTATGCTCAATTCATATTGTATCAGATGAGCCCGCCTTAAAATTGCGCACTGGATTTTTATTGGTTAGAAAGAGTCGTCACTTCGTTAGTTTTATGGACTCAGTTTATTATAAATAACCGCCAATAAAAATGCATACGAGATTCAAAATTTGTGAAACTTTAACTGACTAGTGCTTCTGTAAACGTGCATATAATACAAACATTTGGAATAAGGCTGTTCAACAGCGATCACAATAACAGCGAATGTGATTCAGAAAATGTCAACTAACATGTATATATTTGGAGCGAGACTGATATGCTATATTTTTCAGCATATATTTGTTAAATTGCAGAAACTCATACACCGGATGATGTGATGTGACTTTTTGCATCCCTTTCGCCAACCATGTGACACCGTGTTCTTCCGCGAACATATCGCCAGCTCGACATTTGCGGATGTAATGCATGCGCTCCATTTTTGCCAACTGAAACACATTTGTCTTATACAGTACAAGCAAGCTCATATACAGCAAGCAGAGATCGTCCGAGTCAGAACCTTCATGAATGCTCAAGATCCTTCAAACCTTTAAAGAATCTCACTTCAGGAGAAGTAGTGCCGAAGAATCTATTTAGTGGGTGGGATAGTGTAGCCTTCAGGTATCAGCCTACAGATGTGCCGTTGCCGCGGCACGAATGTGCACGACAACGGCGATGGTTTTATAAAGTCAACATCTGACAACTAGTCTTAGCATTTGGACGAGTTACGTCGCGCACATCACCGATCACAAAAGAGAACCGCAATGTGATTGTCGTCCCGGCTAATTCAAACACGCGCGGTAGATGAACATGGAAGCAGGCAAAGAAACAAAAAGAAAATGTGTACAACTCGTCCCGCGTAGCCGTTCTAACACATATCTTGAACTCTTTGCTTTTTTGCAGTCACGACATCCACAATCTCCATAATAAATCGCATAGACACTACAATGCGCTTCTGGCGGCGTTGTTGGATCACTGGTATTGAATGGTTACGACTCTTTTTATTCATTCTCAGAAAAATTGTACTGCAGTGTGTTACAAATTCTTTCTCGTGGCAACCAAAATGGCTTTCGCACATAGAAATAAACCAGACTCGCGATTTTTTAGAGTCCACTGTCTGTTTTATTGTAGCTATGCAAAAAAAAAGTCCGCTTCCTTTTGGAAAAACCTAAACCGAAGTCTTCAGCGGTCCACTTTTAATATCTAGCATACCCAGAAAGCACGTTGCAAGGACATCCTGCAAACAGGCTGACTCAAAGTAGCTGAATATGACCGTAATCTAGCTTTGTTAAGTAAAGGTCTTGTTTTTTTTAATTAGCTAAATAAATATATAGAATGTCAAGTAAGAGAATATGAAAAGGACACCTAGAATTATTCTTGGAAAAATCACGGTCATTTCTCTCGACAAGACTGCACTTTTCATTGTTGGAAAGTAATGCACAAGAATGTAGCGAATATACAAACTTTGGACAAATAGTCGAATGAAATTAAATAAAGAATTGAGAGAAAAATTTGGAAACAACTGTATAAACTCACTCCACGTCCACGATTGCGTCGAATAATTCCTTCCCATCCGAAAGAAGGCGATAAAATTGATGGAGCTCCGTCTCCTCCAAATGCAATGAAATCTCCAGTACATTCAGGATTCCGCATGCGAGCATTACGCCTCAGGAAAAGACGATGCCTGCAAAATTTAGCAACGCTTTCGTATGCGTCATGATTGTGATCAAACATAAGAACACACTTCGTTTCCTTATAGTTGAAGAGCTCCTAGTTGAAGGCCCAGCTCCGCATGATGTTCTATCCTCTCTCTTTTCATCGACAAAGCCGTTCGTCTTCGGCAAACCTGTCGTACCGTTCCTATGCTGCTCCTCATCGGTATCCTAAAAACCAGTAAACAACGTTCATGACAAAATAAATCCCAAATCCAGGGAAAACCTCGTTGTGATCGGAATCTTCATCGCTGCTAGGATCTATTGTAGTTTCTCCATTCGGCTGAATATTCTCTCCATCACCATTCTCTTCCTAAAAATTACACTGTAGAAAAAAAAAAGAAAAAAAGACAGCAACTTTCCCACTTACGAAGAACCAACGAAATTGAGATTAAAAAACACAAACTGCTTACCTCTGTTTCTGTGTCTACAAGTTCTATGGTCACCACCGGTTTCTTTTCATAAATCACGAAAATTTTAAAACAATTCTGACAATTGAAGAACGTTTCAGCAGAACGTGCATACTCTTCTTCAACCCTAAAAATTGTTGCGATTAGATATCCTGTAAGCGAAGAAATACTTGAGGTACTACCTTGTTTTCCTGACTGACTGGCTGAACA